ACCGTCCCCCTCTTGCTGTCCCCATGTCCCACTGTCCCCATCCATATCCCACTGTCCCCATGTCCCACTGTCCCCGTGCTCTGCTGTCCCCATCCGCCATGTCCCACTGTCCCCATGTCCCACTGTCCCCATCCCCCGTATCCCACTGTCCCCATGTCCCACTGTCCCAGTGTCTTGCTGTCTCCATGTCCCACTGTCCCACTGTCCCCATCCGCCATGTCCCACTGTCCCCGTGTCTTGCTGTCCCCGTGTCCTACTCTCCCTGTGTCCTGCTGTCCCCCCATGTCCCACTCTCTGTCCCGTTGTCCCCGTCCTCCGTGTCCCACCGTCCCCATGTCCTGCGATCCCCCTCGTGTCCGACTGTCCCTGTCCTGTTTCCTGCTGTCCCCCACCTTGTGTCCCACTGTCCCTGTCCTGTGTCCCACCATCCCCCATCTTCCCCTGGCCTGTCATCCCTGCTGTCCCCCGCTGTCCTGCCAGGTGTCTGCCCACGTTATCCGTGACACCGGCTGGCAGTATGTGGTGCAAGGAGGTCCGTCAATGCCTCCAGTGTTGTGTTTGCTCCTTGAGGGGTTGGTTGGGGGCACGAGCACATGCCTCGCTTTCCTGGGGTGAGAGGTTCTCAGGTCTTGAGGGTGCGGTTCACAGGTCTCTAGTTGGGGGTCCACAGGACGAGGGCCACGGGCTGCTTTCCTGTACGAGAATCAGCCTGGGAGCCGCTGAAGCCCAAAGCCTGGGCCCCACAGTCGGGGTGAATGAGCCCCCAGCAGCTGGGACCCCCTTCCCCCAACCCTCTGAGACCCTGCCCCCCACAAGACACCACTCCCAGGGAGACGGCTCCTCCTCGGACACTGTCCCCCAAGCTGCACCCGAGGCCCTGCCCCTCTAAGACCCCCTCTCCCCTCTCCCCTGCTGCAGACACAGGTGTCCTTTGGTAATAGCCGGGAGTCCCAGTGCCATGTCTCAGACAACCAGGCCCGTCTCATTCCTGGCAGGACCAGCAGCCTCAACCATGCTCTCTGGGGTCACTGGAGGGGACTGTTTCTTTATCATGAGGATGCTTCCTTTACTGTGACCCCGCTGTGTGGTCTCTGTTTTTCTTGACTCTGTGTATGAACCTTGGCTGTACCTGGGCTCGTAGGGGGAACCAACTCTAGGATATTCGACACTGGACAGGAGGACCCACGTGTGAGGTTCTCAGAGTGGCTGTGACAAATTACCTCAAACCTGGTGGCTTAAAACAAGAATCCATCCTCCCGCAGCTCTGGAGATAGAGTCTGAGATCCAGGTGGGGCAGGACCTCTAAGATCCAGGCGGGGTAGGGTCGGTGAGATCCAGGCGGGGCAAGACTACTGAGATCCAGGCGGGGCAGGACCACTGAGATCCAGGCGGGGCAGGGCCGTGCTCCCTCCCGAGGCTCCACGGGAGGGTCCTTCCTGCCTCTTCCAGCTTCTGAGGCTCCAGGTGTCCCTGGGCTCATGGCTGCGTCCATCCCGTCTCTTCCTCCGTCCTCACGTGGCTTCTCCTCTGTGTGTCTCCTCTTCTGTCCCTTACAAGGATACCTGCCATTGGATTTAGGGTCACCCCGATCCAGGTTGAGCTCATCTCAGATCATCCAGTTCATCCCATCGACAAAGATCTGATTTCCCCACAAGTTCACGTTCTGAGATTCTGCCTAGGTGTGAATTTGGGGAGTGAAAGTCACCGCAGAACAGCCAGTGGACAGACTGTCCCCTCACCTGGATGGGTTTAGACCCGTGTCCCTGGATATGGGGCCAGTGCCAGGGGAGCTCGTGTGTGGCTGTAGGTACTGTCAGGTGTTGTCATGAGAACACGTGTGTCTGTCCCGGCCCAGGGATGTGTGCAGCAAGGCCACGTTGCGGTGAACGGGCGACAGTGGTTCGCTTTGTGTGCAGTTTGAGCAAAGCGCTGGGCGTGGTTGCCATCGTTTGCTCGTCGCCGAGTCCGTGAGCTGCGCCGGGCATTGTTGTGCCCAGGAGCCCAGCCACGCTCCCCACGTGCCCTGAGCCCACGCTGGGCCACCGAGGCCTCTCAGAGCAGCACAGCACTGCAGAGCGTTGTGTGTCCGGTGAGGGTCCGAGTGGGCTGACCTGGGCCCTGTCTCCCCGCAGCACTGACGAACCAGCAGGAAAGAGTGCTCATTGAGATGCTCGTGGCCGCCGTGCGACAGGCTGCAGAGGGCCGCCCACCTGCCGGCCGCCGACTGGGCAAGAAAGTCAGTGCCCCCCCCGCCCCTGTGTGGATGCGCTTCGCCCCCTGTGCTGACCGCTCCGCTGTGGTTCTCGTGCTGGGGCTCTGTGGGTGCCCGCTCCCGCCTCAGCCGCGCAGCGCCCCCGCCCGCCTGGCCCTGGGCTCCGCTTGCTGCCGCTTCCGCCTTGTGCTTGCCGCCCCGGCTGCTCACTTGGCCGCGGGCCCCGTGGGCGGGGCTCTTGGCCACCCAGGTAGGTCTTGCTGGCCATGCCTCGCAGCTGCCGCCCACCCCTCCTGCCGGCCGCCAAGCCCTCTGCCACCTGGTTCCTGTGTCTGCCATCGGCCTCCCCGGGGAGGGCACTGCACAGTCCTCCCTGTGCGAGGACGTGTGGTTGGTCAGCCAGCCTTTGAATCGCCTCTGCAGGAGCCTCCAGCGCTGCTGGGACAAAAGATCACATCCTGGGGTCCTAAAACCACAGGAATTTTGCATTCTGCCCCAGCTCTGGAGACCAGAAGTCAGATCCAGGCGGGGCAGGGCTGCTGAGATCCAGGCGGGGCAGGACCGCTGAGATCCAGGCGGGGCAGGGCCGTGCTCCCTCCCGAGGCTGCACGGGAGGGTCCTTCCTGCCTCTTCCAGCTTCTGGGGCTCCTGGGCGTCCCTGGGGTTGTGGTCGAGTCCCTCCCGTCTCTGCCTCTGTCCTCACGTGGCTGTCATTTTCCCTCTGTGCACATGTCTGGTTCTGGGCCCTCATCTCAGTTTTGTGACAGCAGTCCTGCTGGATTAGGGCCCACCGTAAGGTGTGAACTTGGGGGAGACAGCTCAGTTCTTGATGGCGTCCCTGCACGGAAGCACTTTGTTGGCAACGAAACAGCAGAGTAGCCATCGGAGCTTTGTCCTTGATCTGGGGGCAGCTCTGGCTGGGTGTGACCCGGTGCTGTGGGAGGAGGTCCCAGGGCCACCGTGGGACCCTCATGGCTCCGTCATGGGCTCAAGCCACGCACGCTCTGCCTGCAGGCGGCCAGGGAGGTGGACAGGACCCGCCGCTGGCGTGAGCATGCCAACATGAGCCGACACTTTGTCAAGGTGCTGCCCCGGCTGCTCTCCAAGGTGCCAAGTGGGGAAGGGCCTCAGGCCGAGAGCCCAGGGAGGCTGGGGGAGCTCCAGGGCAGGCCAGGAGGCGACAGAAGCGAGGGGAGGCTGGCGAGGCTCCGCTTCACGCCTCCTCTCTGGGCAGTTTGCAGCAGACAAAGAGAAGGTGACCCCCCTCCTGCAGATCCCACAGTATTGCAACCTGGACGTGTACGACATGGACGGCCTGGGCTCGGTACGTCCTAGGATTCTGTTCCTCCTCCCTGAGCTCCACGCCTGGGGGCCACACCCCTCCTTCTCAGGGTCCACACCCCCCTCGTCTGGGTCCAGGGATGGGGTCACGTCTCTTCTCCCTGGAGTTCCACGCGGGGCAGGGGGCACACTCCTCCTCAGGGTCCATGCCCCCTTCATTGGGGCCCACGTCCCCCTGCACTGGGGTCGCGTCCCTCTCTCCTCTGGGTCCACACCCCCAACTTCTGTGGGTCCACACCCCCAACCCCGTCTGGGTCCTGGGATGGGGGCCACGTCCCTTCTCCCTGGAGTTTCAGGTGGGGGGCTGCTTTCCTCCTGCCTGTCCACACTGCTGGGGTCAGCCATTACGCACTCTTGTGGCAGAGTCAAGACCCCTATGCTTGCAACTCCTGTGACCTTTTTCTCTTGGCCCCATGCCCCCCTCCCTGCGCTCCAGCTGGCCCTTTCCTTCCAGCCCCTGACCTTCTGCCAAACCTCGTGACCTTCCACTCCATCCCTGACCTTTCCCCTGACCCCTATGATCCCCTGGCCTCCCCCCGCCCAACCCCTGATCTTCTCCCTGACCCTTTATCTCTCCTCAACCCTATGACCCCTGACCCTTCCCCGTATGATCTCGGACCTTTCCTCCTTGACCTCCTGACTTTTCTTCTTAGCCCATGAACCCCTGGCCTTCCCCCTCAACCCCCCGACCTCCTCGCTGATCTCCTGACCTTTCCGCTGGCAGTTTCCTCCTCGACCTCATGACTCCCTGACCTTCTCTCTCCACCCCGTGCTGTAATCCCCTGACCAGTCCTTTGTCCCCCCCGCCCCCCCCGCCTTGCGCAGTACCTGGACGCAGCCCTGCTAGAGCTGGACTGCCTGGTGCAGCGGCACTCGGACGTGGCGGTGCTGGAGGCCTGTGCCCGCGCCTACGGCACCTACTGTGACGAAGGGGGCTCTGCCCACTGCCAGGCTGCCCCCGCCTGCAGCCGGCTGGTGGACATGCTGGTGGACGTGCTGACCCCACTGCTGGACGTGTTCATCCAACGCGAGGTGCTGGCTGTGGGGGTGTGTGGGGGAGTGGGGTCTGTGGTGTGGGTGTGGGTATGGAGCGTGTCGTGAAGGGTGTGGGGAAATCCACGGCGGTAGGGAGGACACGCCGATCGAGGACGCTTGGGCTCAGTCCTTTCTGTTCTGTTGACGTTCTCTAAAGCTGCGCACCTGTCGGGTCAGCTCCGTGAACTCGCCAGCGTGTACCTGGGGGACCGGCTCTTGGTCTCTGGGGACACAGGGTGCGTTCCCCGTTTGAGCCCCGACTGTTCTTGCTGCATCTGTGATGGGCATGGGAACGTGCGGGGGATGGCAACAAAGTATTCCATTATTCTCCACGGGAGCCCCGGGAGCCCCCAGAAAACACGGCCTGACGGAGGCTCTGGCCTGTCTGCCCTTGGCGGGCAGATGGCTTCTGTAAAGAGCCACATCATAAACGTTTTTTTGGCTGAGTGGGTCATCCTGTTCTCGGGTGGTAGTACGAGAGCACCAGACACAACACGTCACTGGGCCACGTTCCAATAAAACTTTATCGACACAGGCTGAGGGCCGGGTTTCTGGCCCTGATTCAGGCACTTTCCTTGTGAGGTCCCGCTTATTTCCACAAGCAGGACTCCAGGTTGCTCTTGCATCCCCCAGCCCAGGGCCTGCCATGAATGTGGGGTGCTCGAGGTCAGCAACACGCTTCTCCACGTGTTCTCTCAGCTGTAAACTGAGAAACGTATTTCCTGTAGTGAGTTCTTGACAGGGATGTGAGGGAATGCACAGAGATGGTAGATCTCAGATCCTGACTGTCCTCCTCGTCAGCAGCCTGCGCGTCTTTGGGGGTGTCCTCTGGTCCCCCTCATTTTCTGCAGAGCTGGAGACAGAATGGCCTGGGGCACTGTTGCCCTGTTTGAGATTTAAAGAGCTGCCTTCCGGAAAGTGGGGGACAGAGCAGGCAGGAGCGCAGGCCTGGCTCGAAGCCGGTCCGGCATCCTGGGGAAGCCCCCCCCCCCCCCCGGAAAGTGCCTGTCCCATCACCACCCCCTCTGCTCTCTCCCCATTGTGTAGAAACAGGGCCTGTTCCTTGGACACGGTGAGATGGGGCGGATCTGCTCCACGCTGCGGAGACTGGCTGCCTTCTACAGGTGAGTGGGGCGACATGGCTGGTTCCCCCGGGGGGACACACATGACCCCCAAGACATGTGCCTGCTGCCTTACTCTGACGAATGTCCCCGTGTCCCAGGTGAGGTGGGGAGCGCATGGACCTTTGGGGGCTGTCCTGTGGGTGTGCCCGGTGGCTCTGGGGCACCTGGGAGCCCATCCTGCCCATCCGGAGCCCTGAGCCGTGTCCCCCGGAGCAGGGACTGCCTCAGCAAGCAGGTGCTGGACGTCATACCGGAGGGAGCCCAGCTCAGCCATCTGGGGTGGGTGGCCCCTCAGCCTGCCAGGAAGTGATCCCTCCGCTCCAGGGCCTACTGACCAGTGTTCACGGCTCACCTGGGGGATGTTGGAGCTCCTGATGGGGTTGGGCCCCAAAACTCCTTGTGTGTGTTTCTGGCCAGTGCACACGACCTGAGCAGCTGGAACCTGTACGAGAAGATGGATAGCCTGCTTACTTTCCGCAGGCACCAGGGCAGCCTGCCCACTGAGGTGAGGGTGGAGGGTGTGAGGGGTGGGTCCTTGTTGGGGGGAGGGGGGATGGGTTCTGAGAGGAGAGAAG